TGAACGGCCCGACGACGGCGACACTCCCCCGGCGGGACAGGCCCGTTTTCGGTCTTACGTCATTGACGCCTCGGCGGCGGCCACTCTTCTCCTTATTTGGTATCGGTCACACACGTATATGATATACAATAATAATAATAATAAAAGTGTGCGTAGTACGTGCGTGCCGTGTGTCCTTTCCAATGGAAAAAAACGGAGGCAACTCCATATCGGCATCAGAACGCGTTCGCGCGACGACGTTAGCTTCGTACATTTATTTATTATTTTCATGTTTTATTCTTCTTCCACTCTCCAAGAGACGATGAGATTGTCCCACATTTTTCATACATGCCGCTTGCTAAATATAATGATAGTTAGGTATGTGTAGGGATGTGTGGGTACCTGAGTATTTGTTGTATATTTGTATACGTTTACAGCCTGCAACAGGCGTGCCTGGAGCTACATTTCTGCAGACAGTATCTGTATTTTTGGCCCCCCCTTTTTTAGTGGGGCCTTCTCCTAATAAGACAAGTATAACGTAAATAAATTGTTATTTGTTATAATATGTACGAATCTGCATAATATTATTATGATACCTACAGTGTTTATTGGTTATAATAATAATAATAATAATAATAATAATAATAATAATAATAATAATAATAATAATAATAATAATAACAATAATAACAATAACAATAATACTGCCTATACAAATGCATAACGACAGAGCCTATTTTACCTACGTTAATTTTTAGGTAAATCTAAACCAACATTTGTTGTTCTGAATTATTGTTCTGTAAATAGCAGAATTAAAGATTCTAAACGGTACTAGATCATGATAGTTCTACAATATAATATAAACGATGTTTCTTACTTCTTATACACGAAAATTTTGAAATGTAAAGTGTTGTAACTATACGTTAATGTTACATTATGTAATAACACTGTATTGTTAATTTTATTTATTCACATATTATTTTAGAAAAAAATCCATTTTATTTGGTAACAACAAATAAAAACAGGCCCAACTTTTAAGGGACCCAATTACAAAACGCCGGGAGGTGCACAGGCATACCAGCTGGCACGCCTATATGTATGTTTAAAACTGTAGTCACGCTTTTGTTGCTTATAATAATGCAATACATAATTTAGCACCTATATAATAATTATAATCATTAAAGATTATTATTAATAATTGTTTAGCATGACGACGTTGAACGATTTATCATCATCATCTCAGTGGTTATGTGGTACATCGGCACGAACGCCGATTAGTGATTTCTGCACGCGAAAAGACGCGATTGCAAAAGCCCAAAATTTGATGAACAATTATCGTTATTAATGGTTGGTTGCGCTGCATAAATATAGTGATTTAGTGATGTCTGATCGTTTTTGCGGACTATACGTCATGGTAATTATTTATAATTCAGCGATGCCGTGTTAAATGGCAATAAGAAAGGCCGCAGTAGCCATGGGTATCAAATTGCTGGGGTGCTAATCCGCTTTTAAGGTGGTCACTTTAGCATAGGAACTGTCCACATGTCCAACAAAAGTCCCGTAAACGTTGGTCGCAATTATTGACACGCAAAAAAAAAATAGTTTTTTTTATACGTTCATGCCAAACAGAAAAGTCAACATTGGTGTAGGTACCTACATAATTGTTATTCTCTTATTGAGCGATGGAATTTCATAAAGCGTCATCAATGCCAAACACTGTATTTAGGTATAATATATTATCATAGTTGCCTCGATATACATTATACATATACCTACAACGTCGTCATCGTTGTCGTATTTTACTCGAGATAGGTAGCTATATAATAGTTGGTGGATAGGTAGGTAGGTATGTGGTATGCCTATACACCAGCTCACTGCTGGTCTGCTCTGCACAATGTTTTCGTCGAGTCATTTTTAAACAATAGCCATTTACATAATTTAGAACTACTATACCTATATACTACATTCATGATTCATCTTATTTGTTTAATGGACCATTAATGTCTATAATATATTTACTATATTAGGAGAACACACCCTTCGACAACAATTTCCCACTTATTATGTGTAAAAATATATTTCAAACAACGAAAACAAAAAGAACAGAATAAATAAAGACTGCATGCGCTCCTGTAGGCTACAAATGCAGAATAGATTCATATTGGATTACGTCCAAAATATTAAGTATGAAGGATATTCGAACCCACAATACCATAAACGCGGTGAAGGTATCAATGTATTTGTTTTTTTCTTCACATTTTTGATCATATTAGGCAAAAAGGTCAGTCGTTTTAGAATGTCTAAACACTTTATGGTTTATGATAGTCTGCACATCAATGACAATATTATAGAGGTATTTAAGTTACAAGGTACCCATTATAAATTAAGTATTGTATGCATATTTTATAAATTATAAACAACTAAAGTCTAAAATTAGGTAGGTATGTACATTTTTGATGGATAACAAAATGTGTATGATAATAATATGTCATAGCGGAATATCGGATATCAATGTAAGTTAATACAAATTAAAAATAATTGCAATTGTGAGGATAATTTACTTGTCCCACTATTGCAGAATGCAGATGTTATGACGAGTCGTTGATCTATTTATCTATTAACACATATTATTACAAAATAATAAGGTTGGCTCAAGGCCAGTTCTTCATTCATCAGAAAACTTCCTAGTTATATATAGGTACTACAACAATAAGAAATAAAATATTCAAATAGATTACAGAACAAACCAAACCATTTAAAAGAGACGAGGTAGTGGTGTATTGTGTGTAGTGTATTATTTATACATTTTTATTTAAAAACAATAATCAACAAACATATGAAGTTTTCTTAAAATATGAATAAAATGTTATACAATACATTTGATATATTTCAGTAATAGTGAGAAGTTAGAACAACATTTTTATCACTACACTTAAGGATCTTGGTAATAAAATTGTAAATTGTAGAACAATAACTATGCCAAAATTTGTCAAGTTTTTGTCTTCTTTCCAAGTCTATAATTTAAATCAAATGTAGATTTTTTTTATATAATAATATTATGATAGGTGAACATTTAAATGCTGTAAGGTTATAATTTTCTGAATAAATTGCTAAAAAGAATAACTAAAATCAATGATCATCAGTCTATAGGTAGGTGTGACGCTATTATAAATCTAAATCTAAATATATAAATTGTTTTCATGATTTTTCAATTGCTTTTCCAAATATTATAAACAATCTAAAAAACTTCAAATCAAATTTTCAATTTCATTAATTTACAATGAACGTTGTGGAGTCTAGTTTCTACCCTCAAATATCAATTGTGCTAAATTGAGTGCCGACTGGTGATATCATAAGAACATATACAAATTCCATTGAAGAAACCAATAAAATTTAGCTGTATAGATCCTGTTTTAATTTATTTATTTAAAAAAATTAAGTATTAGTTAAATATTTTGACATAATTTGTTACATATGTTATTATTTTTTTTTACATTTATAATTTAATTGGATAAACTTACTCAGAAGTTGATTGAGATAAAAAATCTTAAATCACGGATTTTTGTTTTTATTTAACGAAATTAGAGATTAGTCCAGTCCATCTAAAGTCTTATAGACTATAGTTACTCACGTAGTCAAGGAGAATATTATGATATTGAACTAATTTGTTGGTAATAATGTCGTAGTATTTATGACATATTATGCTTTATTGTCATATTATTTATTTTTTCATTCAAAAGCTTAAAAAATTTAAAAAAATTAAGAATTAAAAAAAAATGTTGTTTTGTAAGGAGTTAAATTTATGTCAAAAAATTGTTCAAGGGTTTTTTAAAATAATTTTGAGTGTCCTACATTGGATGTATCGCCGTTTACATACGTATACCATAAACATGATTTATCAAACCTTTTATTTATCTGACTCGTTATTTTTTTTAAATGTTATCAACTTATAACTTATAATAGGTAGCTAATATTATATTTTTAGATTGAATACAATTTCAAGGTTTTATCTTTCGGCATTTGTTTAGAAGATGACCTACCATCTACCGATCCTTCATTAAGTTTTATAGGTTGACCTACCTACCATATTTACATGGTGTACCAATTAATATATATTACCTGTCTATTTTTTGTACCAACGCATTATTATTTATAAATAGCGATATCGATCGCGAGACGCGAGATGCTAATCTACAATATTTAGATATTTAATTACATACATATTTTAACCATATATATGTATACATGCTTATCGTACCTATAGAAAATATATTATATATTCATAAAACAGCCAATCATTAAAAAAAACATAGTAAACCCTGAAACTGGCACGAACAGTCAAACCATTATGTGTACCTATGTATTATATTATTTGACCAATATTAAAAATTAAAATGTTGTAAGGAACATGTGGTGCAACTCTAAAAGTGTTACTTTTATCTCATCATTTGGTCAAAATATAAAAAAGTTTATATTGAATAAATAATATTTATTGTAACAATAGTTTGTGAGTTAATTTGTATTCATTTATAATTTTTTTTACATAATAATATATTATGTAGGTATCGTGTATGACAATACTAATACTAAAATGTTTTTAGATATGATGATATCCAATAAATATATATTGGTTGGTAGCCTGTTCAATATGTAGGTCCGGTAGGTTACTTCCTAAACCAAAGTCCATTTCCTTGTGTACTTAAATGGACTTAAATATTTACTACATTCTATATACATAGTAATTTATGCACCTAGGCTTATATTTGTATTAAATTTAACAAAAAAAAGATGTCCAGGTCACTTATATTAGTTCAACTAATTATAGCCGTTACAGGTACCCATGGGCCCATAATTGAACTGAATAAGTCATAAATATTTGTATATGAAATTATTTACAACCTACTTTTTGTTTTAAAATACAAATTATAAACATTCTCACGTGTCAGTATCATTGTCTTTTATCATAGCGTACGTCGTGTGGATATGGATTTTCAATAACATTAGTGATTGTAATGTTTCAGGACCTAGAACCATGTATAGCAGACCAAATCAAAATCAAGGCGAAGCGAGACTCGGTAAGTACTTATATAAACCTGCATGAGTTAGATTAGTCACGAATTTATCTGTACCTATATGGAATACAAACAATTTATCTAATATTATAGGATTAGTCACCTGTAAAGTAGGTACTATAATAATTCCACAAAACTATAAAAGTACCCTAATCTAAAACACATAAGGAAACAGGTTCCAATTGGACAAAATTCGTCTCACCGAGGTTTCCGTAGGTACATGTTTAATTTTTACCTCTAGGCATATTTTCGGTCAGCTGTACTTTATGACTTGAACGGCTCAAAATGATCGGCCCACCGAGTTATTACTCAGTACCTTGCTTCTCGCCTGGCCATTCCGGCCCTGTTAGGAAGTAAAAATAGGAAGAAACAGTTCTGTGTGTTCGATGTTCTTATGGGATACTATAAATCGATATTTATGAAATAAACATAACAAAAATAATTGATACATTCTATGATAAGGCAATTTTGTTACTTTTGATATGGATTTTTTAATTTTTATAATAATTTGAGTAAACAATAAAATCCACCAATCATACAATATTGTGACGGTTTGTGTATTTTGTTCCCTTCATCAAAAATATTTGACAGTTTAATGTATAAAGGAAACGTCTGGGTTGTAAAGCCTCCCAATTCCTAGGCGAAGGTATATATAAAAAAAAAATAAATCGTGTTTCGTTTCCAACTGCTATTTTTATAACGTTACAGTTTGTTTGAACGTTGACACATTTCGGCTGTCTGGACCGTAGCTAATACTATTAAAAATAGAAACCTGAACAAACATATTTACATAAGAAATATCACCTTCACAATTGTTATTTTTTCTAAACGACCAACTATAAAAACAAAAAATATAACATCATGTAAAATAATTTTCATCTACTTTACTTGGATATTAATTTATCACCATTCGAGGTTGTAATCAATATTCAATAATATCACGATATTACTATTCTTAGTATCTACTTAATAATTATGCTACATTATTTATTGCATTTTTCATTATTTAAATAATTTTTGGAGTCACCAATCACCAACGACACTACACAGTCTCATTTAGATTTTAGATAATATTATGGTACCTAGGTACCTATCGTAAGCACTAAAAAATTACTCCACCTTCTTGTTAGGTATATTCACTGTTTACCCCCTACCCACACCCCCACATATCAATAAAGTATTTTCGTAAATTTCGTTATTTTTTTCTGCCCCCATACTTGCATTTCCAAAAAATACTTGAATGTGATTATTTATTACGATATTCATATTATAGCCGCAAAATGAACTTACTGCAGGGCGTATAGGTATCAATATATTAAACCTACCTACCTACCTACCTACCTATCTACCTTTTATAAATTATAATTGAATAAATGTGCTGCAATTTCAATAAACCTCTCACTTAAAATAGTTATGTCCGGAATCCGGATTATTAAATATTCCGGGAACAACACCTTGACACTGTTATATTTAATAGGCAACGACGCATTACGTATATAATTAGTTCAAACTTGAACATTTTTTATTATTGTTTAGAACTGTTACTGGACGATTTGCAATCCACTCTTCCGCGTAAAAACCATGGACTCAGTAACACATCGTCAACTGGGTACAGAGAAGTAACTAAAAGCACATCAAGGACGATTGGTAACGGTCAAACAGAGACTAACAAGGAATATGAAATTCAATATCTCAATCCAGCCAACAAATCCACAATGCTCAGTGAAAGATTACCCGATCTTCAATCGGTTGACTTGCTGGTGGGAATTAATTAATTAATGACCGCAATCATAATTAAATTATGGAGTCATATATCAATATATGTCTTATTTAATAACGTAATAACATTTAACATTTCAGCGACAGACCAACAATGGAAAAAATTCAGGTTATGAAACGGTTTCGTCGTACCAATATAATAAATCAACAGAAAGTACGTTGATTGTATTTTTTAATCATATTTCTATTTAAATTACGTGTGTAACGAAATATTTATAATGTGTACCTATGTTATAGGCAAAGGTACGGTTCCCAGACAAGAAACGAATGGTGTTAATATGAGACAAAGTATTTCTGAACTCGATTCGCTATTAGACGATTTGAATCATGCTCAGAGAGTTGGATTTTCAAACTCTGGAGTTACTAGACATGAAATAACAACTAATGAGTCCGGCATGTAAGTTAATTTAATTATTTTTATTACTCTAGACTTGATGCCTTTTTAATTGGATATTTGAATATTCCATAACTCATAACTTCATAAACAATATCCTACAATCAAGCATTTACGGGATGGCTGCATATGAGTTGGGCCACAAAATAAAAATATTATACTAGTTCAGTCCTGGATTTGTTTTGATAATATATATACAAGTTATGTTCTAGATTAAATATCGAATCACAATTTGTATTTTCTATTACTATAATTAAACACACAAAAATAAAAATGATCTATAATAAAGGTGGGAAAGTGAGATTAAATCATTAAAATAAGTGTATATTTTATTAAATACGTATTAAAACATACGATATCATTTTGATACATAATATTATGTATTCAATGTATTGGCATTTTTAGGCCCCAGAAATGTATTTTCATTGTAGCCTTAAATTCCTAGCTGGGCAATTGCAATGAAAAGCGTGTATAGTATACTTACCAAAAACCATTCGGGATCAAACTAGAGTTATAGGTACCTAAAATAATCCAGAACCTAACTTGTATACCTATTATAACTGTACTGGCCACTGGGGGTATCCCTAACGACAGGGCTCTAACTCCGGTGTTGCCAAAAACGCAAATCGTATTCTTTTTTAAACAGGTTGCCAATTTTAGCACAACAACTGTTTGAGCTTTTGTACATTAACATCTCACGTCTTTTGGTTTAATTTGAGCTATATTTTGTGTTTATTGGTGACAGCCCTATCGTATCTGCCACGGGGATATCGTCATTAAAATGTGTGATGGTTTATTGATTGCTATAACTTTGTTGAACTATTAACAGTGAACCATTAAGGAGCAGTACGCCATACAAACAGCAATATAGTAAACACGAAGAACATAGATATGGAAGTCTTAACCGATCTAAAATTCCAGGGACCAGTGAAGTGGTTTCCACCTACGAAACGTCGACAACAAACGGAGAACCTTTAGGTGAAACATTTTGTACTAAATATTAAAACCCCAGTGGGTATAAGCAATGTGTGTGATACTCATAAATATTTGTATACTACAGATTTAGATTTGACCGACGCTCCGCGTAGTTATACTAAGTTGCTTCAAAACCAATCTCCGGGAACTTATCAGACCTCGGTTTATTCAAAAGAAACTACGAAAAAAATAATACCGGGTACCACAACTTATTCGACGTATCAAAAATTCGGTTCACCTACAACAGACCCAGGTCAATCTAAAGTGTACAACTATTCAGAAGAGTATCGTACTGATAGTAGGAATCGTTCGTTGAGAGATTTGCCACCGTCTCCTCGTCCTCATAGATCTTCATCTCCGCGTTCACCGTCACCACATCGTTCACCATCGCCCATGTCGTTTCCTCAACCACCAGAACCTAGAAACTACTCAAGTAGTCATACTTATACGAACAGGACAACGTCACCTCAGTCGGTCCAGAAGTTTAGTCCATCCGATCCAAGCAGAATCAAGTGAGTATTATGCATTTAGTTTGCTTAATATAAATTATTATTTCGGGGGATTGTAATGAGTGTGTATGTCGCAGCGAAGAGGTGACCTGGGTCGCTCATGCCACGCCCCCTGTAACCCGTCGTTTCCCCGTGAGGTTAGTAAGCGTTTTGGAGGTTAATATTGTGATCGTACGTGAGATTCATGGTTGTGTTCAGGGAATGTGACGTGAACACATCATTTTTTAATATAATAAATTGCATAATTATGCACCACTATTTTTTTTTATAGCGTGGATAATAACTTAACTTCGTCGCCTGGTCAGACGGTTTACTCGTATAAATATTCGAGCGAGACCAGAGAGAACACAAAATATGGACAGCCAAATGGGTACACAAAACCTACACATCAAGAACAGTTGCCACTACGCCATTCGCCGTTCCCAAGAGATGAGGCTGACACACCTGGGCTCCAAAATCCACCGAAACGGTTGGACGACTTGATGGCATCGTTTGGTGACAGAACAGATTACACAAACTACCACAGTAATAGAGAATACCACTCGAACGTCAAGGATTACCAGTCCAAGTCTAAAGAATACGAACACGACAAGGCAGCAGAATACACTATTCCGATTAAGAAGCCACATCCCGATAATCTAGCTCCTGAAAATAAAGGTCCCGAGAAATTAACTGAAGTTAAAGAAACTGAAGTGACTCAGTCGGTCGCCGGGCCGCCAGTTTTTTATCCCCCTGGGTCAACAACGTTTGTGAAGAAGGAAGACGTAATGCAACAGGTATAGTAACCATTTTTATATCTAAACATATTGTGTTATCGCTCAATCTACTACACTTTTTTATTCATGTCCTACAGCAGGGTCAATTTGGTCAGGGACAAATGAAGGCTAAGGCCAAAGGAATGTACAAGTACAAAAGCAAGAGCAAATCAAAGGAAAAACAAAGTTCTGGAGCAACAATGGTGCCAGTATGCTTGCCAATGTGCTGTGCCATGCCATGTGTCATCATGTAACCTAAGACATTATATTTATATAACTTTACTAATTTATAATTATTTACAAGACATAAATAATAAAAAGGAAAAATCTTATGGTGGCCTATTAAACTTAGCATCCTAAAAGTAAAATTACTTAAAATTACTTAAATACACATGTTATTTTATTTAAATAGGTCATAATAAAAACATTTTCAACTTTGAAAAGAAATATTTATACATGATATACATTACAATATTACCATCAGTATGATGGTTATTCTTACTAGTTACTACAACATTGTAATTTTAAATGTTGTCTTAATAATATATTATCACTCGGATACCTAAAATTTTACTACATTTTTATTTTATACCGAATAAATATCAGAATATTACTCATGTATTAATTGTTATAAATATCAATTTACCTGTATGTTGTAAACTTAAAACACTTTTAACATACAACTAACCTTGCTGTAAGCTTATTCATTACTTGTATTTGATTATTATTAATGTATATTCTTAGATACAAACGATTATTAATTTATATAATTATGTGTGTATGTATAAATTGAATACAATTTACATGGTTATCTTATTAATTGGTCTAATAAAAATAACAGATGTAAATTCTACAAGATAAAATTCACAATTTTACATTTAATTATTTTGATTAAAAATGTAATAAATAGTATTACTATTGATAAATAACATACAATTATTTTATAAAGTACTGTTATTGGCGTCATATGACTTACAAGGTACTTAAGTTCTAGGACCACAAGTTTAGTAGTTCCGTGTCAAGTGGTCTGGTGTAAATGGTGTAATATTTGTAGGCTTGTAGGGATCTATTAATTATTAGGCATATAAAAAACGTTCAACCACTACAGAGTTGAATAAAACACAGAGCCAAATCACAGTTACATATCAGTATTCTAACAAACTACCAACAGTTACATGCTGTAATGTTTAATGTTTATGACCATATTATTATATTTGATTTACGGTAATTTTTGTTTTTAATAATACATATTTACATGACCTAACAATAATGTATATTATTATTTTATATATTATACTTTTGCAAAATATATCAAACGCATTAATTTTGTATATTTCTAACTATACATAGACGAATGTTATTTATTCATGTAATAACTTAGAGTGTAAAATATTATTTTTACAATTTGATCAAATTTTGTTGAATTTTATTTCGATAAATGTTTTAATTGTTTGGCGCGCACGTTTTGTACCTAAAAATTAATTTATGCTGTTGTCAAATTTTGTTAAAATTTTATTGATGTTGAATAATTGTTATATTACATAATCATACGAATTAAAGAGATTTTACTTTTTTTGTTTTTTTATATCCAAAAATAGATACCTAGGTATTGCGTATTGTGTTCCTATAAACCAGGGATGGACAATTTCCATATAATGCATATATAAATTATAAGTCAGTGCGGCTTAACAACTGTCAATGTATTGAAAGGTATGCTAACAGTGGCGTAACTTGTAATTAATTGTTGGCAGGGATGAATATATAAAAATTTTTTTTGTCTTTTATGTCTAAAAGTATAGTAACGGAGTAAGTAAATAATTTACTAATATTAAACATTTAACCTATACTTGTGGAAACATGTGTTATATTAGTTTATTATATATAATATGCTATAAATTAGTGCTTAAATTAGGGGACCGACAAAGCGATATATATGCCCCCACAATAAAATTCAGAAGGGCCCTCCCTTGCCTTCCATATTGAGTCTATATATGGCAATGATAATATAGTAATAAAGTTTAATTTTATGACTTAGTGAAGGATGAATGGATTTATCCGGATGTCATCTCTTCAGGAGTAAGTAATCAAAATATATATTATGTAGGTATGTCGTGTATATAGGACATAGGTAATACAAAAGTCAAAAATGCAGAACAGATTTTAAACAAATTATGAAAATGCTGGACATTTATTGTAAATTGTTCGGTATCATGTCTTTACGCCGACGGTATCTACGCCGATAGTAAATACGCCGATGGTATGTTTTTTTACAAAACGAATGTATTTCTATGGAACTAATATAAGAATAAAAATTAACTAATATGAAACTGAAAATTAATTATGTTATTAAATAATTAAAAATAAAATACCTAACTCGCTGTTGCCTAGTTTTTTTTTAATAATAAATATTTTTTGGCTCTGAATAGAGCCTTTTTATGCCCTAAAAAGGACATTTTTTAACGGCGTTTTTAGTTTTGGATAGGTCATTCAACGATGCCTTGTAACAATTCCAGAGGCTCAGCTTAAATTTAGGAAGCATTCTTCCAAGGTCGGTTCGTCGGGGCTTCAGGTCTTCGTTATCCGTATACAATTTTGTTCGGAGCAGTCTTTCAAAACAATCAACTACGTCAGGCTCTGAAACAAATGCAAGAGCGGCCAACTTTCGCATGTTCAATACAAAATCCGGATCATCCTTAGCAGCTTCAGTTGATCCAATACACGCGAATAAGTATCTTGACATTTATCCGGCAACAGTGCGTAAACCGTAGGCAGAACGTTAATCGCGTGTATTATAAAAACTTTTTTAAACAATGGCGGTGACGTACTGACGTTTTAAATGTACCATCAGCGTACCAATGGTCACATGTCGCCATCAAATCCAAATTCTTTTGCGTGCTAAAGATAATAATTCTATTATCTGAAGCACCGCTGTCGAATTGAAGAAATTTATCTCCAGCCACCGTATAAGTGTATTTGTCGGGAATCAGAAAATCACGTATGTTAGTGGGGCAAGACATAGCTCCCGCTGCCTTTTGTCTTGCTTTAAGGATATTTCGTTTTATCCCGACGACCGGTTGGAAAATTCCAGCTACTACCGCTGGGAGACTCGACGTAACAGAGGCTAAAATTTGATGTGGTGTATCCACAGAATAGATGAAATGATTTCATCTATTCTGTGGTGTATCCATCACCGTTTCAGCTTTTTGTTTAATTGAGGCCATTACTTCCTTGACTCGGATTTCAGCCACATCTGGGACATGGTTATGCTTGTCATTTTCATAAATGACAATGTCTTCAGCTGCCCACACTCGCCCCAGACACTTGTGTCCTATAAAAAAAATAGGTGTTGCTGTAATAATTGTTGGTGACCTACCCCTCATTATACTGTTATACCGACTTAAAAATGCCCTATTTTTCTTTTATCAATACCCACCCACCTATATTTAAGGTGTTACCTTAGTAACACTTGGACCCTACGTTACACGCCACTGCTTGTGTCTATTATAATGAACACATTTCCAAATGTGTTTGTCTTCTTTGACTTTGTCCGTGGTATACACAAAACCTTCATTGACCAACTGTTTTCTAATGTTCATGGGTAATCTACAAAGAACTGAACACTGATAAACATTATTATTATCATGAAGTACAAACGTGATAAGGATAACCCGTAGGCTAGTTTTTCTTAAATTTTAAATAGTTAATATTATATTTTATTAATACCATAGAACAATACTACTGTCTACCAATACCAGAGAGGTCTTCATGGTGATTGGTGGTATAGTTTTAATTACTTGTTGAGCATTTGGTTTTTGTTATTTATTCATTTGATATTTAACAGGTTTACATTTAAAATTGTATTTAGTAGTTACTTTTTTTATTGTTAAAATTAGATCATTAATTTTTGAATATATACAACCGTCACCAATACCTTAATGATATTATGAATATTATTGTTGATGAAGTATTACAACATTTGGAATCATCTCTGTCTGCTAAATTTGACTATAGCAGTGTGCATAAATCACTAGACTTTTTATTTCAAAAATCTTTGAATGGTAAGAAATCATAAAATGTTGATGATATTTAGCTCATAAATTATAATATAGTATGAATGCTTCATACTTCATCCATCATTTTTTTTTGTATTTCAAATATTTACAATGCAATCCGTAAATAGGTTTTTTTACAATGAGTATGAACGATGTGAGGGTAGTAATTGGACTAAAATCTTGAAAGAAGAATCCATTTGATGATGGAATTATACAGATTTTATATGAATGATGTATAAATATTAAAATTCTACTAATATGAAGACTTATATGATGTGTGACATGTTATTATACTTGGATATAATATATTAGTAATAATAATCGTTAAGTATTATTAATAATACATTCAAAATGATTAACTAATACTTAGAATACCTATGTTATTTCAACAATTAGAATTTGGCTATAATATCCTAGAACATGGGCGCCCATTGGGGGGGGGGAGGGGAAGACAGGGCACTTGCCCTCCCCCTGGAAAAAAACATTATGAACATGTAGCTCAATAAATATTACCGCAATATTACCTTATTAGTTATGACCGAAATTTTTTATTTTGACCCCCCCCCCCCCTAAAATATTACCTATGGGCGCTCATGTCCTGGACCATAATGTATTAATGATTATTGCTGTCCAGTTCGGATATTAATTTAATCTACAGGTAATCGTAATCTAATAGATTATGTATATTCAAATAAAAACTGTTGTTTGAGTTTTAAATATCATTTTTTTTCCACCGAGAGGTAGAAGGTGGTATCAAATAAATTGTAAAAATAAAAAAAACATTTTAGGTACCAAACTGTTATTGAAAAGCAAAAATGTATCAGGAAACATTTGAATTTTTTAAAAGTTGCAAACATTTGTAGTTTAGATGTTAGTGCTATATTAATTAGTAATTTATTAAGCTACCTAAATATTATGGTAAATTTGATTGTTCTTATAATTTTAGAACATGAATATAATATACAATATATTTTATATAGAACATTCTTAATTAATGTGTTAATGTGTATAATTACTTTTAGACTCCCAAACTGAAAATTTAAAGGTTGCATTAACAAGTGTTGAAGCTGTCTTAGAAAAAGTATGGGAGTCTCTTCATACTGGCTCCTGGGCTGAAGCTCCAGATGGTATGCGTAAACTTTATTCACATGCTAGTTTGCTCAAGGTAAGTAGTAATAACTTGTGCTTAGTATAAAAATGTACCTAATGTTTTAACATTTTTTCAAATTTTATTTTAGGCCAAACTATTATTGAAAACTGGCAATGATGAAAGAATGTTGAAAAAAACTATTAAAGCAATTGATGTGGGGTTGCTAATGGGCAATGAATTTAGAAATGAACTAACTGTAGCTGCATCATTATTATGTAAAGCTCTGCATCAGACGTTTTCTGGTATATAAATCAATGTCTATGCTGTGGTCAAGTGATAAAAATAACTAGTTGTTTTTATTTAATTTGACTTCTCTTATGTATTTAAAAAAACGATAGAAATAGCTCCCCCAGCATAAGCTCAGCTTTTAGAGGGTGTTGCAATATTGTAAACTCATTAAATATAATCTAAAATGTATATTGTATATTATTGTTGCAAATATATTATACTATTTTTTTTTATTTTTTTTTTTAGAGGTTCCAGTTAAATTGTGTGATAATAGAGAATCGTTTAACAGTTGTGAATTTCGTAAAAATGGTAATCATGTTCTAACATTGCATCAACCATCCTTAGAAACATTTTTAAGAGATTTTCTTAAATCTAAAACACCTGTTAAAATCACAGGTAACGAAAGACACATGATATATGTGACACATTTGTTTTTTCCTCATTACTGATTTTACTACCCTACTATACACCATTTTGTTAGTAAACCACCGTGGAATATTGTATTATTTAATTTACAATATTTCAGGTAATATGGAACACTGGCCTGCTTTAAATAAATGGAAAGATTTAAATTATCTTGTAAAATTAGCTGGAGCTAGATTAGTCCCTGTTGAAATAGGATCATCATATGCAGATGCTGATTGGAGTCAAAAATTAATAACTCTTGAAGAATTTATTAACACTCATGTTGTTCAAGAAGGTGAAAAACCAACATACCTTGCTCAACATCAACTTTTTAATCAAGTAAATTTAAATGAGTGATGAAAAAATAAACAAAACAATTTTAACTGTAGATTATTATTTTTAGATTCCAGAATTAAAAGATGATATTAGAGTTCCAGATTATTGTTATTTATCAGACATAGATGGTGTTGAACCCGATATAAATGCATGGTTAGGTCCTAAAGGAACTGTGTCTCCTACACATTATGATCCAAAGAATAACTTTTTGGCTCAAGTATGCATTTTAAAAACATATTGTATTGGTTAAATCTAATCTTTATTAATTAAATAAATATATTTATTTACCTGTAGGTAGTAGGATCAAAATATATTATTTTGTATGACCCAAAATGGTCTGAGTATTTGTATCCATACGATGATAAATTTCTTAAGAATACTGCACAGGTAGATCCAGTTAAGCCTGATTTGAGTCAATTTCCCAATTTTTCTCAAGTAAAAGCAACACATTGTACTTTAAATGAAGGTAAGCATTAAAAAAAATGTTAAGTAATAGCAGTAGTAGGATAAAAAAAGTAATGAAATAAGCAATATTGGGTGTCTTGTTAGAGTTTAGAAAGTTCCACTTTTAAAATTTGTATATTATTATATTATTAACTTTAACTATGTATTTTTGTATATATTATTTCAGGTGAGATGTTATTCATACCATCTGGTTGGTGGCACAGAGTTGAATCTCTTTCAGTGAGTTTTTCTGTCAGTTTTTGGTGGATGTAAGTCAAAATGAATAGTTGTTAATTTTTATCCATTTGAATTTATGTTATTGTTAAATTGTGTTCTGAACTGAAATTAAAACAAATGTGATGCACTTAAATTATCTGTTATTATTTAAATATAAAGCCTAAAAGCTAAAACCACAAAGTCTAGAATAGGTATATCACATTGAGCATTATGAAATATTTTTGTCATGTTTTTTATAGGTATCAATATACCATACAAATCAAATAAATATTATATAATAATATAACTACTTGAGTTGCAAGTAATGCTAAAAGTTAAATTATTAGGCTATAGTCGGTACAGGATTATAGGAATGCCATAAATGTGACGTAAGTTATTCTAATACAAAAAGTTAAGTATTTTTGGTTGCTTAATTGGTAAAATAGTAATATTATTGGTACACTCCCAGATTTTAGGTAAATTCCCAACTGTTTTCTCTAAATCATAGTAGATCATTACGCTATAATGTTAATGCTTTAAAAGTTTAAAACGATTAGCAATTTTACGATCAAAAAATAATTTTATTTTCAGTATTTCATTCCATAACTGTTATCAGTTGTCACCTATCACACTTATTTTAATCAATATATTTTATTCTGTTATTTTAGTATTTGCATACAAATTTCAAATATTTGCCAAACAAAATAGAAGTAGTGAGTAGTTAGCGAGTTAATTGTTTGTACATCGGAAGTGTAATAAATTATTAAATTCTAAAACCTAAATTGTTAACTAAAAAATGCTTATTATTTTGGAACATCCTTTTTTATCATGGCACATTAACGGTTATCATTACCGCCAAAAATGTGTCTGATAACAATGTTTTGTTTTAACTTAAAACTGTTAACGTTTAAGCATTATAATTTATAGGTACGTATTGAGTATTGTAATTATTGTAAGACAATTTGTTGTGGAGGAGCTTCTTTGGTGTTAATTCTTTACTTATGTCTTTCACGTCGGACGGGTAAATCGCTCCTGCATATAAATACCTACATACGTTAACTGTTAATGCATTAAACTAACAAGTTCGTCTGGTTCTAACTATTTGAATTTTATAGTTAGAAATATGAGTACAAATTGTGACATAATGGATCTTATGAAGGATTATGGCTCCGAATTCAACATGTCTACTGTGATGCAATGTGTTCAAGAATTAAAAGCTTGGCAAGAATCGCAACAGCAAAAATTATGTGAAAAACCGACTATGGATACTTTGACTAACGAAATGGAAGATGTGTTAAGGTCATTTGATGTTCCAGAAAATTCCCAAGGTACGTAATTGAACTATAATTTAAATAACTATTATATGAATACATGGGTATACAGGGTGATCCAACAAATATGCTCACCTGCCTTTTTTCTTTAATAATGAAATTTTTCGAAATCTGATTTTTGGAATCTTTTAATATACTCAAAGACCATATTTTCATATTCTTGAGATTTTTTGTACCACTTGAGGAGTTTCCCGTGGCGATACAAACTTTTTTACTGTAAATTATTTAGCAGATAATTTTTTGAGAATTTTGATGTATTGAAATCAAAATTCGAACGACTAGTTTTCTAGTTATTACACATTTCTTGCTAAGGATAATATAGTTTATAATAGGGAAGAAGGATATGCTTATACACTATACGTTATTATCCTTAGTCTATACACGTCATAATATAAAATAATACATAATTTCATATTTATTTGTGTGTAGAACTGTATAGACATATCCCTATTATAGACTATTATCCTTAGTGCAAATTGTCCTGTAACTCAAAATCAAATTTTGATTTCAATACATCAAAATTCTCAAAAAGATTATCCGCTAAATAATTTAAAGAAAAAAAGTGGGGTTCTCATTTGAAAAACTAAGATTCTTATCACCATAGGACACTCTTTAAGTGGCACAAAAAATCACAAGAATATGAAAATATGGCCTGTGAATATATTTAAAGATTTTTAAAAACTTTATTATTAAAGAAAAAAATGGGGGTGAGCATACTTGTTTTATCACCCTGTATGTATATATTTTTTTTCACAAACAATAATAATTTTTTAAGAAATAATAAAGCTCTGTTTCAATTATAAAAATAGAATATAAACAATATGTGGAGTTAAAAAAATTAAAATCAATAATAAATTATTTATTTGGTTTTTAACATTTATTAATGTCTAGTAGGTAAATTATAAATTTGATATTATTTATTTATTTATGCATAATAAACGGGTATTAAACCCTTTAGCAATTAGAATAATTATAAGTACAGTTCAGCTTATCTTATAACAGAATTTGAATACAACAATGAAGTAAAAATTATTAGTACCAAATACCAATGGTAATGGTTAACAGCTAAATAAAGAATATCTATATAGTACAGTAAAAATCATTAACTAACAATAAATAGTTACAAAAACAATACAAATAAAATAATAGTAATACAAGATAATTTAAATTTAAAGTCAATAAACATTCTGTCTGAATACAAATTGCGACATAGCAAAAAAATCAACATGATCCATTATACTGTTAGCCAAAGATAGCTCTGGGGATTATTATCTAAGTTTAAGTGAATAATAAATTGAGATAAATAAGTAATGTTCATCATTCATATGAAAAGATACATTCATTTAATGATTCACTTAAATATAATGAATGATGACTAAAAATGTTTTGGGGACATTAGCTCACTATTGATTCATTAAATATTTAGTGATTGTTTTTGCAGTATAAGAGGATTGAAAATATTTATCTTTTTACAGTATTGTAGTTTGACTTAACGTCCTAATGGTTAATATTTTATTCCAAAATTGAAGTTGGATATAACTTAATATGATTTCCAACAGAATGAATACCTCTGATTTCTTTAAAAATTAGATGAAGTATTATAAAATTAGCTATTAACAAAGTTAACCAATTACATTTTTTACAATTACTTGTTTTATAATTTTCATAAACATAAATTATATGATTTTCCATAAGATAAATTTAAAATTATTATTTATTTAAATATTTTGAACACACATTATTCCTAGATTAATTTTTTTTTATAGTACAGTGTTCTCTCGGTAATAGGGTATGTCCAGTAATTTAGCTCCTTACCATTTTCATAATAATGAATAACACTCATCATTTGTAGCTACCTAATAAAATTGATTTAGTCACACTGCAATGTCACAAAGTTATCATGGATTTCTTAGCTTTCCTTAGTTATGTCTTAAGACTTGTTCCTTTAAAGGAATAATGCAACTATAGTATAAAAATAATATATGTACATATAAAACAGTTAAATATTTCATAATATTTTGTACAATACACGTATATTCAACCAGTAAAATTTGATTTTTAATGAACCTCCACTGATTTGACTTTTTTGTTAAAGTTCTCCGATCTGATATATGCCGGATTACTGAGATGCCACTGTACTTAAACACATTCATAAAATATGTAAATTGATTTTAAAAGATTTGAATAAATAAACTTACTATTAAATATTTTGTTGTAACAAAAAAGTGTTATTTTTTAAAAACCATTGATACAAATCTCAATTTGCCAGGTTCTTTTTTAAATATTTTTATTTATTATAGAAAATCATTATGATGATAGAGTATCTTCTTATTCAGAAATAGATGAAGAACTATTGAAAAAGTTTGGCTACCAAACAGATGTAATTTCATCACAGGTTAGTATTAATTATGGTCCAGATTTATTTAGATAAATTATAATTATAATATATTTATTAAAATTACTGTATGGCAAAATACAATAAAATGGATCTATTTATTTGATCAAATTTTGTATGCAGAAAAATTGGATATATTACTATTACTTATCTAAATATTTTGAATTATAATAATTGTTTTTATTTAATTTAGGCTTCAAATCCAAGAGATGATGTAGCAATATTATCACCTAATAAAAATGTTGATAAAGAATGTAATACCAATATTTCTGAAGATAAACAATTAGAAAATGAAATTGAATGCAAAACTATTAAACCTAAAAAACCATATTTAAAAAGAGGTACAGGTCTGGCTAGATATGGCTTAAATATAGAAGAAGTTAAAAAAAAAACTGGTAAATTGAAATTCAAAAGACCAATTTTATCAATTCCATCCAAAATTAAAGTACCAAGAAAGTGTTTGAATCAAGTCAAACCATATCCTAAAACAGAATTTGGTAAATTAACTTAAAAAAATATTTTTATTTTTTAAAAATATTTAATTTATTTCTATTTCATACATTTATTTTTAGGTACTAGGCCAACTGAAAGTTCACGTCTAGACTTAAAAAAAGTTGAAGTAGCCAATTCTTGGAATAGGTATGAGCCCAAAGGTTTGGCAGATGATGGAGAAAAGAATAATAATTCAGAACAAAGGGAATTGCGTGCATTTGAAATATTAGAAGAACGTGCAAACAATTCTGATTTAAATGCATCATCACCTACCGTTTGTCAACTCTTAGAAAGAGGGCGAAGTTCGAAAAGTAATAAAGAAGTACCGGCATCACGACTAGTTCGTTCTTTAAATTTTGATCAAATAAACTCATCCACTCCTAGACAAAATATTGACGATTCCGACGATTCCTATTCAGACTCAAGTCAGGAATGTGATCCATTAGATTTAACGGAAGATGTGCGCAAGGATACAAATTTAAATGGCAATAAAAAAAATAGTAATAAAAATGAAGTTAATTCAGTTATTTTAACAGAAAATGAAAGTAAATATTTAGAAAACTATTCTAAAACATCAGGAATCATGAAACAAGTTGACTTTGATCAATCATTTGATACAGAATTACTTAGTAAGAGACTTGAAGAGTTGGAATCTGAGATAGAAACATTTCGGTCAGAAAATACTAAATTAATGAAGTTGCAACGAGAATTCGAGGTTGAAAGACAAAAATTTTTTAAGAGTAAAGAAGATTTTTTAAAGAAATTAAATGACGAAAAAAAAAAAGAGGAAGAAATGCTGGCAGAAGAAAGAAAAAAATTCATGAGAGAAAAAGTTTTGTTTGAGAAAAATGCTAGAGAATTAAGAAACAAACCTAATAGACAAGAGAGAGAAGAAATTAAAAAATTAAAAGAACAGGTTGGTTTTAATACTGTTTATATTTTTGAATGTATACTAATGATTTTGACATTGTATCTTAATTCATAGTTAACCGAGTTAAAAGATGAGTTTAATAAAAAAGAATCTCGATGGGCAACTGGCCAGGCCCGACTCAGGACTCAGATGAAATTATTGGAAAACAGTAATACAGCTTTACGCAATGAACTTGAATTATTGAGTAAAGCATCATTGAATAAAAAAGTAAACAATTTTTTATACCGGTTGTTCGGTGAATTTAAGGAATACCTAATTACTTTTCAGGATTTCAGTGGATTGGAATATTGAATCAAGACTTTTTTGAAAAGCTAATGGGTACCTCCTAAATGGTAAATACACATTTTTTGGAACATTTATATTTTATAATAGCATTCAATTCTAACTTAACATTTTTATCTCCAAACTCTTAAATAAAAATTGTCTGAATAAAAGACATTTCAAATTTAATTGAAAATATATCAGTTTTTTCCAATTTAATAAAATATTGGAAATCAATAAGTTTGTAACTTTTGTTTCAAAGATATTACCAATGGGTGATTTCCTAGCAAGTTATTATATTATTAATATATTTTCAAGGTTCCACTAAAAGTGGAATTTTAACATGCAGATTGTTTTATATTCTGATAAAAAAAAATTTTGCAGTTTGAATTAAAAGGACGTTACACCTGCATGTGTTGTCTCCGTCTTACAAAAGTACAACATAACGAAAACTGTTCTGCATTAAATAGAACCACTCAAACTGTAGTCCAAGCTAAGCAACCAAATTCTTATTATTAAGAGGAGAACGTTTATTGTGCAACATCGTTTTTATTTTGTCATTATTTTCAAGTTTGAAATAATGAATTTTCAAACAATAAGAACTTTTTTTGCGTTTGCGATATGGAAAAAATAAAACCAAAGTTGCACAGTAAATGTTCTCTTGTTTATAGTGTGAACATTTGGTTGGTTTGCTTGGACTACAGCTCAAGTGTTTCTATTTCATTCAAAACAGTATTTGCTATGTTGTACGTTTGTAAGACGGAGACAACACATGTGAGTGTGGCGTCCTCTTAATATTATTATGTAAATTTAATAGTTCTTGTAACAGTAATATCTTGATAAAATATTTTATACGTATGAAGTAAAATAATATTTAATATAAAATAAATTGATTAAATATTAAAAATAAACTAATATGAATGGATTTTTAAAAAAAATAGTGTATACATGTGTTCTTAATTAAATTTAAAATAGCTTTCATTGAATAATATTTTATTTTATAACCGTATAATGTATTTCAGTACAATTAATTTGAAAAATAGGTTTATCTAACTATGGTATACTCATTATGTTACTATTTCAAAGTAAAAGTTAAGTTGTGTATGCTAAAAGGGTTAAAAATGTAGTGTTCCTTTGAATGTGTATTTAGGTATTCTCTAGCTTGTCAGTAAAGTCTCAATTCAATCTAACGTAATCCGGACAAGTATTCCCTAAATTGTTAAATTCATGGTATACAGTAAATACAATTTCATGGAATTTTCATTTCAGGTTACTTTCAAAACACCATCTGAAAAAAAAGCTTTGAGGAACACCAAAATAATTCATAATGTCAATAAAGAACTCAGTAAATTGTCTCCCGATGATACATCATCAATGATTGATCCAAAAACTAGAAACATTCCTGCATCTATACTGAGGAAACCTGTAATTACGACTACTGATAATGAATCATCTGAGGAAGAATTGTCCTCAGATGAAAATCAGTTCTCTAAAAATCTCTTGCATGATAGTGATAATGGAAATGATTTGAATGAATCTAACAGTACTCAACGCAGTAGTTGTGGTGTTGTCCGCGAGACTGTTTTAGATGATGGACGTAAAGAAATTTTGTATTCAAATGGTAATCTAAAAAAAATTTCTTCTGACGGCAACAATGTCAAAGTGATTTATTATAATGGTGATGTGAAAGAAACAAAAGATGATTACGAACGGTATTATTTTGCTAAAAATAAAACATACCATACAACATACAATTCTGGTCTAGAGATAATTGAATTTCCTAAGTAAGTTTAATATACAAATTTATGTGCTTTATATTTAGATGGTCACACCAGTGGGGTAACTAGCTATAATTGTTTAGGATAGGGAATATTTAAAGTCCAAATGGAAGTAATGGAACCCACCCTATCATAATCAGGTAGTGGATTAAATAAAAAAATATTTTTGTTATACCTTCACCATATGCTTATGCTCCAATTTATTATTAATTTAAACATTACTTATGCCTTATAAGCTTTAAAAAAATATTTTTCATAATTTTACTAAAACAATAAAACTTAATGTGCTTATTGAATTATTTTATTTTAACTTAATGTAGATGCTCATTTCAATTGAAAAAATGTATCTGGCTAAACATAATGTGATTTAATTGTATTTTATGAAATTTAAAAAGAAGCTGTTCAAGTATGTTTGTGTTAGTATAGTTATATGATAATCCTATACTCCTATAGTCGTCTATGCTTCTATGCAATATTTGTATTATTATCAAACATGCATTTACAGATGTTTATATTAATGTCAAATCAGTATTATTAAAATGTACCATTATTTTTTTGTACTACTTTTCACTAGAAATATTTGTGGTAGCAAAAAGAACCTTTCTGCCATATAAAAATGTTTGGAATAGCAACCACTTCACTTAACTACCTCCTATTAACCTATAGATTACATCATTAAAATTCTATCTACCCGTACCCTTTTCCACAGTAATAAATCTATTAAACCTACAACAGCTAATAGTTGCCTCACTTAAGATCAGTAAAAAAAAATAATAAATAAATAATCTGGCTTAAAATTTGTTAAGTAAAACTTAGAACAAGTTGTGAACACTTTCATTAGTAATAATAAGACAAAAGCTCCATTGGGTTACTTTTTAAGAATTTCTATTTAAACATGTTATATATTTATATTAATTGTGTAGTGGGCAAACTGAAAAGCATTACAAAGACGGAAAAGTAGAAATTGAATATGTAGATGGTAAAAAGCATACAGTGTATCCAGACCGTAAGGAGATTTGGAATTACTTGGATGGTTCAGTTTTGACGGTAGATCCAAATGGACATCGTGAATTGGTGTTACTAAATGGCCAACGAGAAATACATACCAGCGAATTCAAAGTATGTCCATTCATTGTTTAAATTAGTTAATATTTAATATACTAGTTGTATTTCTAATGATTAAATTTAGATATATGTTTTGTGTGAATAGTTACTCAGTGACCTAAATTATATTAGGTATCTCTAATTATCATAATATTGACTTAAGCTAGAACTTATATTACTGTGTTAAAATAAAAATGTAGCAATTCATAAATATTAATTTTAATGCATTTCAATTTTATAGAAAAGAGTTTATCTAGATGGTACAACAAAAATTGTTTATCCAGATGGGTCGCATGAAACCAAATATCCTGACGGTAGAATTAGAAAAAAAGACAAGGACGGTAATTTGACGTTGGACACTAGTGTTCCATCTTAAAACATTTAATGTAAATTGTTGATCAATAAATTAAATTTCAATGTTTTTTATGTTGTATAATGATAGGTAGTTTGAGTTTTTGAAATATATTATTTTATTTTTTGATACATTTTAAATTTTTATACTTATGCGATAAATATATTTATTCTTGCATGATTCTCTCTACTTAATAATTTTATATTAACTTATTGTGAATTTACTTTGGAACATTATGATAGGGTTATCGAATATCTTACATTATACACATTTATTGTTATTTGTTACTTTGTTAGTATTAAGTTTTTACTCAATATGCAATATTTTTTTAATAAACAAATTTAAGTTATGTGGCATTAGTAGCATTATGTCCATGGAAAAACTACTTTTCCTTTTGAACGCCAATCTTTAGCATAAAAATCATAAAGTAACTTGTTCATAATACAACTATTAATTAGAAATTGTATTATTTGAATATTTAAATATTAATGCAATGACAGAATTCTATATCCTGTTACAAGTTCCTTGTCTTAGAAAGTTGATTGAATATCTAGCGAGTCATGTTGTTATTAATATAATTTCTTATTACACATGTATTCAAATTAAAAACCAAATTAGCTTAATATTGTATTATTGGAAGTTAAATAAGATACCTAGTTAATATCTAAGTACCTATGAAAACATGCACGGTGTTCCTAGGTAAGTTACTTTAAAAAGCAACTAAGCTACGTTACCACAAAATTAAATAATCAATAAGTACCCACTTTAAACTTTAAAATTAACCAGTTACTTTATGATGCTACTTTAAAATGTTTTAAATATATAAAACTAGGATACCTACTATTAAATAAAAGCATTTATTTAATAGTAATTATCTCCAGTCTTATAAAAGACATTTTACATGTGTTTAAGGGAGTGATATATTACAATTTAGAAATATTAGTTGTACCGTTGGTAAACCATTTAATATTTATTAACTGCCTAAATAAAGGTAATTATAAAAATGCTAATTTTTAGCTCATTCACACATATATCATCATTAGTTTTAAGCAATTTAGTTAAAAGTAATTTTCTTTACAGATTTCATAAGAATGTACTTCATTATTTATTTTACAAAGTTTCTTACAAAATATAATCAATGTAGTTACTCTTGCATTATTTCAATAAATAAATAATGAAGTTACCTTAACCTTACCCATAAAAAGTAACTATGTTACAGTAACGAGTAACTTATTATGTTATTACCAATACTGCAAATGTTACATAAAGTACACAATAGTAGATTATTTTTGTGGTCTGTTTCTAAATTAGATTACCGCTATAAAAAAATATATTTAAAAGTACATAATATCATCGGTGTCATGCCAAAAGCGGTGAAGTTTTTTTTTTTTAAATCTTTGGTAAAGTTAATTTGAGCATAACATTATTACAGTACCAACAATTTAATTCTGATTTCTATATAGTAAATAATTTATATTGTTACTAATAACATTGTATTTTTAAATTTAATTTCTTAAGTTAAATTAATTTTACCATAAACTTCCAAAACTAACTTGTCCACTTTTACAAAACAATAACGGTAATATGTGAAAAAAACTATATTTAATTCATAAAACAAATCTTTTAGTAGTATAAATACAACAAAATAATTCATTTATTAAGTCCCTAAATATTTTTTACATGAATTACAATACCAAAACTGATTAATTATGAGATGTACAGTAAATAATTCTAGTAATGTTAGTTTACTAGGTCACAAAAAAAAGAGAAAAACACCCCAACAAAAGAACAAATAGTAAGAGGCCAAACAAAACAGTTTGAAGTTTAAATTCAGAAATGCATGTTTAAAGTACTTAAGACTTATGCCTAATAGTTTAATAAATAAGAATTAATCATCCTTCTTTGATTCGTTGCCAGCAGTCTTCTGAAGTTTTTCATGTTCTGTCATGAGCCTGTCGTATTCTTTGGAGACAGATTCTGCTTGACTTTTGATCGCGTCGCGGTCGGCCTTGATCAATTCCAATTCTTTTCTCAGTTGAGTCAGCACTTCAGACTCGCCGTCTCCTTTATTGTCTTTCGTCATCAAAGACTTGGCTGCAGCGCTGGCGCTCTGGGCCTGTTTCAGCGACGCTTCGCTTTGGGCCACCAACGACGCTTGCAGGGTGACTAGGGCTATGAAACGTTTGATGACAAAGCTGAGGAACAAGGCGATGCCACTGATGTAGAAGTTGCGCTGGGCACGGAACAGTCGCATGTTGGCCTGCATTTCGTGGTCCAAGTGTTGATGCGCGTCGCTCAGCTCCGGGTTGGAGTATTTGCGCATCTCGCGGACGGAGTCCAACAGGAACAGGACGAGAACGAACAGCAAGAACGTGAAGTACCACTGGGCCTGGGCGCTAAGCGCCTGATAGAACCGGGATCGGAACAGACTGTTCCAGCGCTTAGCCGACATATATGGTACCAGGAACAGCATCAGCACGCCCACTTCGAAGTACAGGAACGTCGCGATAATCGTCCACTGGAGACTCATCTTGTGTGTACGGGGTTGCAATGGATGGTGACGTGAATCTCAATCGGAGGGATCACTGACGGGAAGGGTTGTAATCGTATGATGTACCGCTATTGCGGCCTGCGGGTCGCTATACCGTTCGAAGTTTCAAAAAAAATCGGCGAGGTATTAGGGGTACACGGTTAGTTGAAAAAAGGACGAAAACAATATAAACCGTGCCGGCAAGTAGGCGGCGTCAAGGACGTACCAGATCGACGCAAAACGAAACAGTGAACTCAGAACGAGTAACGACAGAAAGGTGCACCGGACTACCTGAGAATAAAAATATACAGTGATTACTGTTCACTATTCAGTGATACATTTATAACTATTATAAGTTAATACTTAATTCAGCGATAATGCGATACTCACTTATCGGCTGTGTTATCGTGTACGATACTACGATGACTAAGATGAAAACGTAAATATAATATTATTAGTCACGTTATTAATACACGTAACTACGTAAGACCACAGAACTTAGAACCCAGTGCAACTCGGCGTCTCGACCAATCGGGCGCGCTGGATCGGCCGCCGGCAAGTCGCTATGAATACGATTATTTATTACGATTAAATATTAGTATTATTTTATTTATTTAGTTACTTCCTATAGTTTCCTACTACTGTCTACTTATCTACTTCTGTACATTTTCTTCGTGTAAAACTATAAACTGTCTGTAAATAATATTATGTAATAGGTTGGAATTTATTTATACTTTCGCAATATTACACAAAATTGTTATGCCGACTCTACAGTTGTAGTACAGTCGACCGTCGGATTGTTTATTTTTTTTAATATTGGCTGTCGAGACTCTACTGCAGTCTGTTGACTACGGCACTATTAAATGGACCATTCAATCGTTTGGGAGTTGGGACCCGGGACAGCAAGAGAAACTGTTGGGTAGCGCATCAAAAGTGCCATGGTGTTTTCGCGTGCCATGTTCTGTGATAAATTTAATATTTATAGTTGTATTGCGGAGATTGTTTTGACGTGACGTAACTTTCATAGACCATAATACAGCTGACGCTGAGTTTTAAATTATTTAAATACCTATCTATAGTTAATATATACTATAGACTATATAGTATGTGTCTACTGTAGTGCTACAACTGTCTACTGTAGAATTTAAATATTTAGTATGTGTCTACTGTAGTGCTACAACTGTCTACTGTAAAATTTAAATAGTTACCCATTATGTATTTCGTATTTTTGTAAATATTTTTTGAAGATAAGCATCATATTTTTCGGTTAACGGAAAAAACGTCCCCAGAAAAACTACCCGTCAATATGTTATAAATATATCATTGTCGATGTGATGAGGTCTCTACCTAACTCATCTGCAATTATGAGAAAATTATCGTTATCCTTGAGATATCGATAGTTTCAAAACACAACTTGGTGGATATAAAGTGACAAAGTGTGTAGATGCTAGATGCTATAGAATATTACCATTTGGCATTTACCACAGTTATTATTAATTGTAGCGTTGTATGTGCGTTGTGAATTTTATTAAATTAAATATTTTATTTTTTTAAATTTTTTATATTGTTATTACTTGTTATTAATATGCTAACCGGTAATTTGAATAAATATTATTATTAAATTATAAGTGATGCCGGAAAAATATTAAATAGGTATAGGTACCTTTGTAAAATTGGGCTGTTTTGGAACCGAATAACAACAAAATGATTACCGTTATTCTTTGTGTTAATATACAAAAATGTCCGCCAACAGCTTAAAACGAGTCAAAATATTTTGAAAAATGTTATCAAGTATATGAAATGATGAAATAAACATTTGGTGTAAATTTTAAGTGTCTACAGTAATTCGTTTTTGGATTACAATAAAATAAGAAAATCGTTACAAGAGAAATCGAGTGAATATCCAATGTAGTAAAAATTTCAACTTCAAACGATCATACAAATTTAACTTTCCTGTAGACATTTTTTTTTTTAGAAAAGGTAGATAAACTTGTAAGGAATCTTGTGTTAACATTTTAAATCTTAAATAGAAATAGAAATTTTTTTATGAAATTCTAACTAAATATAATTTGCTAATTTTCGTGATTTTTACGTTTTTCTGAGTATAATACCGAAAGTTTTATTTTTATGATTTTGTGCTCTTGATTAAATATGATTTTCTGGTGTGCGGTACTTAACGATGATGTTATTTTAGATAAATGTATACGTTATTGATATAAATCAATATGTGCGGTATTGAACTGTTTGATTTGGGGAAAATATCCGGGATCAAGGAATAAAAGTGTGCGGTTTTGAACGACGACCTTTATAGTCCGGGTCTTTATACAAATTGTACAGATTAGCAATAATATAGGCATAATATGAACTGCCTTCTAAAATATCGGTTCAAAAGTCACATTTGGAAAAATTTGATTATTTATGATTTTTTGAATGGTAAGCGAGGTCCATAGACCGTTGGACCTTGAGTTTTTCAGTCAGAGCCGGCAGACGTAGGAAGTGACTTCATATCATAAGGTCTACTTGACGGACCCGGCAGTTGTGCCCAAGACAAAATTTGAATTTTAGGGTCAGTACACTTGTTGCGCTGCTTATATATTTAGGTCTGTATACCAATTCCATTGCTTATACTTTTGACATTTTAAGCACGATTGGTAACCTCCCCTATGAACTTGCTAGATAATCAGGCTAGTGTCTACTCAAAGGTTAGGTTTTTTCCACTCCTCCCCCCAGGTGGGCTATTTTCAGTTTTCACCCTTTTGGTGGTTTGAGGGTTGAACTTTGCAACTGGATCAAGATGTTTCTATAATTAGCGATATTACAATAAGTTTGTAGGACCTCGAGTTTTGTGAATGCCTATGTTCACGGCTTAATTATGTAACAAGAATTTCGAAATTATATTATTTTCAATAAGCAAATCTCCATAAAAATGTTTAAAATGTTTTTATTTTTCAACATAAGAAAACAAATTTTGAAAAAACTTATTTTATATGTAATAACTAATAAGAAGCAGTGAAAATGAAAATGGCTATCATAAATATAAGGCAATAGTATGAATATTTATTTAGGGACATTTATATTTTTGGACAGCACATGTCATCAGCGGCATGCCGTGTAACCTAAGTCTGCACATACCTATAGCCTCAAGATATGAAAGAAAAAAAATTATTTGTATCAAATAACTTTTTAACTAATGATGTTATGACAAAAAAAATTAGTTCAAATTATTAATTTAATATACAAGTAGAATAAACATTTAACAATGATACAATGTATCAATAATTTTAAAAATGTACATTTTAACACAAATTTTCATATTGGTATTATAAATGTTTGGCATTTGGCAATATAATTTTAGTTTAATCTTTAACTTATTCAAATAATATGAATGACTGTTTTTTGAGTGTCCAACAGTTGTTTTAAAATTAATATAATAAAATATAAAAATTATGTATCACTTATAGCTCTCAAAAATTATTCCAAAATCACTTTTCCATAATTCTGAAATTTTATTATTTGTCCTCTTCTTTTTCTTTATATTTAACTACTCCTCTCTGAATTAAATCTGGGATTTCAACTGCCAACCATGGGCCCAACTATAACAGAACACAAAATAAATACATTTAAATAAATAAACAACATAATTATAAAGCACATAAATAAAATTTGTTATAACTACATTTGTTCTCAATTCAACTGACACCAATTTTTTAAAACTAAATGAAATGACAACATTTTTACTGTACCAGTTTTTAGCATAAAAAATCACAAAAGAAAAAATAAATTTCCAAAAAGGTTTTTTATAGATTACTAGAAAAATAATAAAAAATCCTTACACCAAGTGCTAAAGCGTGAGAAATACCAAACTTTGGTACATTTCTAGCCCATAATGGCTTAAAATGATCAGACAGACATATTTTGCCACCTCTATACATTTTGGCAGTTTTACCATCAAGTTCGGGTAATGCAATTTCAGGTGCTGTAGCAGGGAATGTTACGGGAATCTGAAATCAATGTATCGTAAAAATAATTTTGAAAATGTATATGTATAATAAATGTTATATAAAGAACTCACGTCAAATTCTATGTCAAACTCATATTTCAACTGATTTTGAAACACCCAACACTTTCCAAACCATTTAGTTCCTTCCTTATTAGACTCTAGACGAAACCAATCATTATCAGCTGCTTTATTGTTCTGAACATACTAGAATTATTATTAAAATAATTATTAAAATTTAACTTATAAAGTGATGTCACGAGTGGTAAGAATATCAACGCCCTTACTTGGATTAGGGATTGGTATTCTTCTTTGAGTCTTTGTGGCCACAAATCAACGTCCCGGGGACCGGCTTTTGTCTTTAGGAGTGGTATTGAAGACAGAGCCTTTTTGGTGTTTTCCATAGTTTTTAAACGGCTATGTACACCGATGACCTAAATTAATCAAAACGAATTACTGATGGACTTTCGATTGTTTGGTATTATTTATTAACTCAATACCAAACTCAGAATATCTCCTGAGGGTATTGGTCATTGGGCAGTCGCAGTGCCGTGGCGGAACGAGACACGACGAATATTTACTGTAGTAGTGTAGTTACAAGACGTGTTACGAACTTACAACGTACCCAAATGTGAAATTACTGATAAGTGATAAATGATAACACTCATAAACACAACCATGTGTGATTATTGTAGTGACTTCACTTTTCTATCGTTGCGACCATCAGCAATATTATCTTTTGGGCTATGACATTTTCCGGCTTCCCGCTCTCCTAAGCCACCTCGCAAACTGAAGTTTAGAATTAACGATATTTTTGTCGAGTTCGAACTGTTCGAAGACCGTGCTGTGACTATTGACCAATAGCTTTTAGACGACTATTTTTTTTATAATACATGCAATATTAATACGTTTTATGTGTGAGTAATAACTGAGTATATAATAATATTATGTTCGTATTGTGATTCTTGTATTTAACATAAGATTTTAAATATGAGGTAATCATAGATTTATGAACCATATGCATGAAATAAATTTGGGCTTTAGTAAAGTGGAGTAAAGTGGTTAACATATTTAAACCTATGTTCAATATTTTTAGGATTTAATCAATTCACTCTCTACTGTCTTTCTATAATGAAGATATATCGGTTTCTTCGGTCATATGGTTCCTGGTGTCAGAACACAAGGCAAGCCCACAGAATGTATAGCAAAGTTTTGGGCATTGAGACTAGCTGCGACGATACTGGATGTGCAATAGTAGACAGTGACAGAAATATCCTTGGTGAATACTTACAATCTCAACAGCAGATCCACCTCGAGTATGTAACCAATTGGCCCAGATTACAACAAAATAAAATTGCCATTTCTTCAGTTTCGGGGGCATAATTCCGCCAGTGGCCAGGGATTTGCACAAACAAAACATTGATAATGTTGTAACCCAAGCGTTGCAGCGGGCACAAGTTAGTTTGAATGACCTAGACGCCATTGCTGTCACTGTTAAACCCGGTTTGCCTTTATCACTATTAGTTGGTATGAACTATGCAAAGGAGTTGAGTAAAAAATCATTGAAGCCTCTGATACCGATTCATCACATGGAAGCACATGCCTTGACTGCAAGATTAGTTGATCATGTAAGAAGAACATTTATTGTTACTCTGTATCAGTGTCTAATTAGATTCAATTTGATTAGAATTTACAGTTACCATTTCTAGTTTTACTGTTATCTGGAGGACACTGTTTGTTGGCTATCGTAAAAGAAGTAAATGAATTTCTGCTGCTGGGAGAATCTATTGATGATGCTCCTGGTGAAGCATTGGACAAAGTAATGAACCACACAATTTATTCAGTCTTTCCAAACATGACATGAAATTATACTAAATCAAATATTATTTCTCAGGCAGCCAGGCGACTTCAGTTGAAGAATATGAAAGAGTTTAGAAATTGTTGTGGAGGGCAAGCAATTGAAAGAGCAGCATTGAAAGGTGATCCTAGGGCTATTGATTTGGGTACATTCATGACAAATTACAAAGATTGCAATTTCAGTTACTCTGGCTTAAAGAATGCTATAAGATCTCAAATTCTAAAATCCGAACAAAAGCATGGTATAATATATTTTTTTTTGTATTACCCTTACATGCATATTATACTTGACATTTTTATTTTTGTTAGAATTGAAAGGAGATGAAATTATCCCAGAAGTTTTCGATTTATGTGCCAGCATTCAATATGCTGTTACTAAACACATCTGCACGCGAGTACAGAGGGCTATTGAGTTTATTAACCGAACACAACTATTACCAGACACGAATCGAACATTGGTAAGTTAAAAAAAAAAATAGTAACTAAATTATAGGTCTCTAGAAATTGTCTATTTATTTTTCACAGGTAGTTTCTGGTGGTGTAGCAAGCAATATGTTTATTCGTAAATATTTGAATCTTGTGTGTGATGAGGAAAATTTCAAACTTATAGTTCCACCACCTAAACTTTGTACAGATAATGGAACAATGATAGCATGGAATGGCATAGAAAAATTTAATGAACATATAGATATTTTCAGTCACCTTGATTTAGATAAAATTGATATGCAGTCGAAGTAAGTTTTCTACGATATAATATAATATGTATTTACCTTAAAATAATTTAAAAGTATTATTCAACATAAAAGTGTTGACAATATTTGTTTATTTATTAATTATATATTTATATTTAATATTGTTATTTTAGAGCGCCACTAGGAAAAAACATTTCACAACAAATCACAAATATGGAAATAAGATGTCCTTCGGGATTTTTCAATAAAATATTTGAAGGACACAAATAAATATTGTCATCTTATTGTTGGTTTTTAGTTTTATTTCAGATAGCAATAAAATAACAGTTGTTTTATAAGTTTATAATGTTACATGGTTAATAGTAATGGAAGTCGATTGCCGATTGGTCTTACACTTAATATATTTTAGAATCCATAATTTTATTCCAAACATAATATAATATCTTGAAAAGGATTTTTCGACTTGACTGAAGATTGGAATGATTCTTTGTACAACTGTTTTTGGTTTTCATTAGTGAGCTAAAATAAAAAAAAATTCTTACAACAATTTTATTTATTTATTTTTTATCAGTTATATTTAAAATTGTTTTCAATATCCTTACGCTATGATAAAAATCCATTGCAGCAATACACAACAATCTTCTATCTTCATACTCATAACGACCAAGCCTTAATCTTACGTGAGGAAATCTAAAAATAATCACAAATCTTAATAAATCATATGACTTAGTGATTATATAATGAAAAAAAAATACATTGCTCTTAGCCACTTATTTTTCGATGAACTTATAAAAAAACTGATAAGACAATAAATTGCCATAGGTATTTGAAGACCTTGGGTAAAATTGCTGAGTGTTGTAATAACCCAATCTTGTAAGAGATCCAATTGTGATTCCTTAATCAATTGCTCAAATATCTTCAAAATAAAAATATACCATCAAATAGAAGAAAAAATATATTTAAGTCGACAATGTAATAAAAATAAAATACAAACTTGATTAACAACTGTGCACATAGATGTCGGATGAGGTTGATTAGGAGAAAGAAATTCACTGACAACCCTCATGAGTACATATGACGCCGGAAATATATCTGTTAATACTTTAGCCATTATAACTGTTGTCACTTCTACTTCTAGTAAACATCCTTTTTTTATTCTAAGTAATGCATGTATTTTTTGGATTAATAACAAATCTGAACATCATTAAATTAAAATGTAAAAATAATCACCTTTCAAACATGACGCTTATTTTTTCCATTTCAACAACAATCATATCGGGATCAATATCAGCTTCAACATTTTCATTATAATGTTCTAAAAAAAGAAGAAATACAACATTAACATACACAAGGACAAAAATATTTTCTGAGCCCAATTGAGCTAGTTAAGCATTTAGCCAGTTAAGCATTTCATAAATGTTGTGGCATTATTTATATGAAATCAATAAATCAAACCCCTTCCCCCCTTCAACAGTGAGCTTAAACTACAGACATATCTGTGCTTTAACTAAGAAATCATTTGGTAAGGTCTCAAACCTGCATAAATGCATGATAAAAGCAACTGCAATGCTGGCAAAGAGAATCCTGGAGGAGCATTGGATAACCTATCCAAAGCCAATGTTGTAATTTGCTCTACAATGTTTCCATTTGAATGTTTTACAAATATGATCCTTTGAAAACCCTAAAAATGTACTTTTATATCATATATATGTATACAAACATGTATGATGTGAGTATATTGTTGAATTTAACCGGAAGTGTACACATACCTGTATAAGAGCTTGGTATAGTTTAAAATGCCTAGACGATGATACTAATTTAGTGAGGCCTTCCAGTGACATGAGCAATGCGTCTTCGATGTTATCTGACCCATGTTCTACTATGTAGAATGCTATTGATATCACACATAACTGCCATTCGCATTCATATCTTGACAGAACGAAACATTAGGTATCACATTTTAATAGCAATTAGAAGAAGATAAACTTACAACATTGAGTATTCAGTGCATAGATGTTTTTGTACAAAATCCACAGCCATCTGCACAATTTCTGAACTATTAGGTAACATATTATTCATGATAGCACATCCTTCTAACAAATAAAGTAAGCCGTGTAAAGCGGCCAATTGGGTCAGACGGCAATTACTTTTGAGACCATTATCAATTAATTTCAACACTTTCTCCCGAATACTGATATCCTATTAATCAATAATACACAATTTGCATTAATACCTGTATTTGTTCAGTACCAGCCTTGTAAAAATTACCTCGGTAACAGAAATAGCCATTGATTTAGCTGCAGCGATTATGACGTATTGATGTAACAATAAATCTTCATTGTGATGTGATTGCGATAAATCCAGACATACATTAAGCATCCATATATAATGTTCTCTTTCGGTAAACAAATCTGACATCACAAGGAGGCATTTTATCATTTCGTTAATTTGTGAAAGAGAACCTCGTGTCTAGAATGGAAAAATGTATAGTATTTTACATTTTTAATGTGCAGTAGTTATGACTAACTTTTGGTTCCATCCACTGGTTAAACACTTCTTTTAACAGCAATATACAAGAGTTCAGATCCAAGCCACTTCCATTTAATACATTGATTCTTTCATATAACTTCATTTCTAGCACTATTCACATTTGAAAAAGAAATTTATGAACTGATAATCAATTTGAATTTTTTTCAGACAAATATTACTTGAATTTTTTTGTATAGGAATATTATTGGAATTTTTCCACTGATCTGTTATTGCCGTTTGTAGAAATTTGACTGACAACTGATGATAACTATATCTATTGGTAGAATATTGAATTGACTTATTATGAAAAGAAGTAGTATTAATTATTGATATTAACTAATAAAAAAAATGACAAACCGATGCTGGTCATGAATCCTCTCAATATTAGCTCTACACTCATAGCGATCTAATAATGCCTCTTTACCAGCTGTTCTTTTAAATGTATAAAATGTTGAGTATATTAAATCATTGACTTCTTCTAATTTCACGAACCACCTAATAGTTGGTTCAAAAATGTTTAATAAACTCAAAATTGTATATTATATTCAATTATAATAAGTTAGTACTTATGATAAGTCAAGTTGAGTGGAATGTCCCTTGATACGTGTAAGAATTTATTGTTAGTGGTATCACCAGGATAACATTCAAATAACGTCTGACTAAATAATTGTGTAATTCCATTTACAGCTGCACTACTCGCCTTTTTTAACAGTATAATAAGAATAAGAATCATTTACATACACTAAAATTTAAAATTTGTTTGGATATGAGTACATAAATCCAACTAACTTGTATGCGAGAGATATGTTCTTCTTTTGGTATATCGGTTTCACTGGATGGAACTAAAACACTCAACAAAGTCATCCAGGTCTCTTCAAATTGTTGTTTACTGTTCCAGCCAACTACACTGAGTCTAGACACAAATTGTTTGAGTACATCGATTTCTTGCAGTACATCAATAGGCATTGCTGGTATGTTAAAATCAACAATATTGGCCGGTTTTTGCAACATTTTCCATGTAATGGGAGGTACACGCACAAATCCATTTACCATTGGATGGCGACTTATTATTTGTATGATAAAGCTAAAATAAATATTTAAACCAAAACATACATGGACACCTTGCAAAAATTCTAATTTTAATATTGTATTATTACTATGTCAGTTGGTCTAGATGAAAATTTGACAATAATGGACGAGAATTTTCCACCCAAGAAAGCAAAGATGAAATTTGCCGGCATATGGGTACTAAATCTGTAGTGTCTGTATAGTCTAGAGAAATAGAAATTGGTTTTAGTACTTTTAGCTAAGATAATAAAACATAATGTCAGTGCCATAGCCAGGATTTTTAAGCCCTTAGCCCCCCTTCTAAATACAGCACTGAATATTATCTTCATTCAAGACCGTAGCCAGAAAAATATTTAGGGGGTGGGGGGTTTTGAACCCTGAACCCCTCCCACCCCCGGCTATGGCCTTGTCTTCATTATTATACATACAGTCATCAGTCAAGATCAAAAGTACATCCTCTGTAATGAATTCTACCACTGACACTAATGATGAAGCAATTGATCCTAGTTCCGTGGAGCACAACTCATTAGCCAACCCACAGCCGTTAAAAATGTTGTATGCACATTTGAGAAGCAATTGTATTCTGCTAGTAGCAGCTGTTTGATTGACCAACTGCCATTTTAGAACCTAGAATAATACAATTATGCATTGACAAAATTATGTAACATTATATATTTAATGTTTTTTAACAACCTACTCACTTCAAAAAGCAAAACTGTATATTTCAAAAGAGTTTTGTTAGACTCCATTAAAATTATGTGTTCTTTTGAATTGTGCTTTGACAAAAATTTAACACATTCCAAAAATTTAGAAATTGCGGGTGTTAAAAGCCATATTATTTTAATAAATTTACTATCTTCAAATAGTTGACTCATACGCGTCTTGTATATATTTTGTTTTTCATTTAATTCTTTGACTATGGGTAAAAATATCTAAACAGATGTAATGAAAAAAAATTAGTCATTGATTTTATAATTATTTCTTATTTTTGTTTTTACTTGATGAAATCTAGGCAAAGAACTACATGCTTGTTGAATGTGTTCCACTAAGACAAATCGTGCAGCTACGAACAATGGACACAATTCCAAGTTGGTTGTATCATCAGTTAATGACTTCCATGTCTGTAATAACAATATGTTAGTGATATATATGTTTATTAAATACAAAATCATTAATAAAATATCTACTTTTATAGTGATTTGAGTAGAAACAGTGAAACAATATTGAAGTATATCAAGATTGAAATCATCACAACGCATAATAGTGATGGCATCTTGCAATGGCAAATTTGACAATAATTTGGCTGATTCAAAACTAAGACAGTCATTTCGACAACATCTAATAAAAAAAAAAACAAGATTTATTTTAAAGTAGGTAAATTAATGATTAATTAATTAATAAAAAATTTAAATATCATATTTATGATTTATCTGAAATTAACCTAACTGAAACAATAAATATGATAATAATTTGTGATTTGAAAATATGAAAAAAATATTATTGACCAAAAAATCAAAATGAACAGATTATTTTATGATTTACAAGGCCAAAACTCTTAGCTATAGAGTAGAAGAACAATTATAAAATGTTATAATTACCTTATTTTTACTTGATCGAAAAACCAATTTTTATCTATTAAAATGTTTTTAATGTCCAGAGTATTGACAGTTTTATTTTGATCAATTTCT